ACACACACACAGACACACACATGAGAAAATAACTCAATGTCAATGAGGTCACTAAAAGTTAGACTTGCTCTACTTTCTTCTCAGTTTTCTCTTTACCGTCTCTCCTTTCAAGTACGGTAAGATCAAACAGTGCTGCACACAAATAATAATACTCTGTGGAGATAATGCTCTTGCTACGTGTATATGTATTTGTTGCACAAACACACTTGTGCTTTCACTCTCCTTCATGTTTCCGTTCTTGCACAATTGTTGCCACATATACCACTCCTTCAGTTAAGTGTATTTACAGACTCACATTTTCATGAAAATCTGTACACATACAAACAAAAAAAGTATACAACTATATTCTCTCTCTCTCTCTTTGGCTTACGTTGTCGAGGTCTTTGCGCAGAGCGATCTTGCTGCTGACTAGTTCGTGTGCCAGGTCGTCGTTCTCTTGCTCCAGACGCATGTTAGCCTCTTGCAAACGACGGTTCTCCCGCTGGACGGAGGGAGAGAGAGATTCATAGAGAGAGAGGGAGAAAAGAAGGAAGAGAGCAGGAAAGACAATGTTGTCAAAAAAGAGAGACAGATGAAGACAAAGAAATGTAGTAGGAACGCAGAGAAGCGAGGGAACACGAAAGAGGAAGGAAAGTGAAGAGATAGCAGAACAGGGAAAAAGGAGTTAATCATGAAGAGTTGCGAGTGAATGTGTAAGCAAGCCTGACTTGGTGGTTTCCACAGTAATGCAACAATATACAGAATGAGATTGTGTGAGTGTAAAACTTAACTGTGATCACATGAGATTGTAATGTTTAACAGGCCATAACCCATCCATCTTTAACAGACCTAAACTGAAGACTTAAGGGTAAAGTATTGATATCTAGAAGTCTGAATCTGGAAAAGGATTTAAATACCTAGAGAATTGCAGTGGTGATAATCTGAAATATGATTTAGTATCTTAAAGTCAAACTATGATAATACATTTGACTGAACCACTACCCGACTGCAGTCAACTGTATCAAGTTGTGACTTAATAGTTGAGTGTATGAAAATCTCCTTGGATAGCAATATTTAAACCATCTAAAGACACCTCTTTTGACTCTTTTGAAAATGGTATTTGCTTTTTATAAGCATTTTTTTAAGAGCAAACACAGCAGACTGTAATTGATGATCTTGTACTGCATCCAACCAACCCCTTACCCTTGAGATGACTTATGGCATGTACAATTAATGGCTTTTTTGGTGCCATGTAGTTTTTCTTTTACGAACAAGGACTGTCAAGGTCTACATTAAAAAAAAAACAAAGAGGGAGATTTATTCTGTTCAGTGGAAAATCTGTCAGACTGTGGTGATAGTTTTAACACTATGTAGTAATAACACCATTATCTACACCAAAGACAGAGTTGTGAGATCAACTGTAACACTTTGGATACTGATATAGTTAAATTAAACTATATAAAAATAGTTAACCTTTATCTCTAATTCTACTTGTGTTGCTCACAGAGGTGGTGCAGCGCTTTAAAGACATTATGTTCCAACAAGAACAGGGATCTCTTGTCAGAAAAACCAAGTTTAAAAAGAATCCATTTTATGTTAATGACATGGAGGAGTCTTTTAAGTTTTTATGCTTAATGTGCACGTGTGTCTACCTCATATCTCTCGATGGGGGCCTCCTGTTGCTCCTGCTGCTCCCTTATAGTGTGGTACTCCTTCTCGAATTTCTTCAGCTTTTTCTGGCTTATCTGTTGGGCAGTGAGAAAAACAAACGTTTGATGCTCATTAACTGTATCACACATCTGAAGAATTACGCTAATAATTGCAATTACACACATGATCAAAGATATAAATATAGACCAGCACAATAGTCTTTGGCTCGTACGCTAATGGTGGCTGCCAGAGAAGAGTCTTCCCAAGCTTTTGTAAACAAGGACCCAACATTTATAATCTTTGCTGGACTGTGGCATTCTTTAGTCCATCTTGAATAAGATGTAATGGACCATATGCAGCGATTATAGGCTCATTTTGATACTGTTAATTTCTGTCTGACTAGCCAGTTCACTGGGGTATCACTGTCCACACGGTCAAAATCAACTCATGCCACCTTACTGTTTTGTTGTTTTAAAAAGGTCTTCTATTGATGCAAAAATTAAAAGTATAAAGTTACTACTAGACACAGAAATCAAAGAATAGCTAGATTAAACCAAAACATGCACATCAACAGGGGCAGTTTTAATGGCTTATTAAGATAACATTGTATTTTCTAATCCCGATTTACATTGTACAATCAATTACACACTGTTGTAGCCTTTGTGTTGTGTTACTCTGTTATTCTGATGGAACCTGGAATTCTCTATATATCAGCAATTTATCACATTGTTGTGGTCATGAACACAAAATTCAGTAAATAAGAATTCAGGTTCAGTGGTACACCTCTGACCACCTTAAACAGCGTCCCAGTTAAACACATACTCAGAGCCAGATTCATGCCTACAGTTGCAGTTTGCACACACACACTGTATTTAGGCAATCTCATCAACAGGCCTTTCACTGGCCAGCCACTGCCTCACATTGGGCTTTTTAAAAAGAGACAGCTACCACACAATGAACACTATGTGCCTGATTTTCAGCATGAAAGCGAGGACCAACACTGTGTACAAGACTTGCTTGTTCATTCTGTGGATTTTAATGCATCTAGTTACAGCTGCAGCATCAATGCACAGTTGTCTTTGAGAGCGTGTGCGTGTTACAATTTCAGGTTTAGTATTAAGCTACAGTATATCAGATGTTCCAAATGAGCCCAGCACTCATCACCTAATGATGCTGGCAGAACTGGGACAGCATGGCCCATATGTTGTCCAGCTCTAAGTGTGTCTCTGTGTGTGTGGGTGTTCATGCTCTTGGAGTGTATTTGGTGGCACATTCTGCCCCGTAAAAGGGAGACAGACAACAGGAAGAAAACGAGGTCATTCAGGCTAGGAGTTGCCTCATCCATCTCCTCTCTCACTCTTTTTTCCCCCTGCTTTCTCCCGCTGCCTTGACTGACAGCTGGGTCTCCAGACGTTGCTAGTTAGAGAAGCAATTAGGAACACAGAGCAACCACAGCTACCTCAAGTGCAGCTGCATAATATATTTCTCATCTTACAAGTCCTGGATCAATTATAAATTAGCAAATTACCTGTGCAGCACCGTCCTTATTGTTTTAAAGTACACTAGCAGCTAGAAGAGGCCTATTGTAAAACCACCTGCTCTCTCTTGGGTGATTTTCTGATCATTCTCTGCTCATCTGAACCAAAACCTCCTGTTACAAACCCTGTTCTCCATGGTTGCTGTTCTGTTTCTGCAACACAAAAAGCAACCGTTTGAAAAGGTTGTCAAACTTTAACACAACAGCGGGAAACCTGTGACTATATGTAACTCTTAACTGTAGTAACACTTACGCATACATACTTATATTTACCAGCTACAAAGTAGACCGCTATGAAGTAAACATAGAGAGATGGCACAGGTAAACAAATAAAACCCTGCATGTATTTAATGATTTTCATATAAATTCACTGAGCAATTAGCATATTTTAGTTTTAGAAGTCAAAAGGTTGGCAGACGAGGAGAGAAAGTAGGTGTAACAACTATACACTGACACAACATAAATGACCCTAGTTGACCCTGACATTGCCTCCTGAATACATTTTATGACCTGACTGTAGTTTATGACTGCCTTCGCCACATACTCACTTAAGACATTTTAAGATGATAATGACCTTTGACCACAATTACTAGTTTTTATCTTAATACCTCCCACTAGGAGTCACACAGTCACTCAGCACTGATTCCTTAAGTGTACAACAACCTTTTCCTTTCCTCTTCCTGAGATAAGATCACTATAATCCTGTACTAATTCCACCATGAAGTAGGGGAGTCAATAGTTCAAAGGGTCAAGACCAGGATGTTTGACTTTAACCTTTTATATACTGTTAATAAAGCTATTAAAAAAATCAATGTAATCAATTAAGCTTTCCATCATTTTGTGCTTTTTCCATAAACAGAATGTGCATGGATGAAACCCCAGGTTAGTAATTCACATGTAAGAATCCAGCATTTAAATCATGTTTAAAATAGCACTATGAGATTATGACATACCTGTCAAATCTGAGCTAAAACGGGCAATTAAGTTAGAGCACCTGGCAACCCAGAAAGCTTTGTGCTCCAATCAGAAGGCAGTATCATCAGTCAATGAGGTCACCAGTAATCTGGTCAGTTAATCCCCCTATAGTGACATCCAAGTTTCAGATTAGCCTACCTTGACTCAGATTTAATTTCCAGCTCCAACATTGTAGCACTCCCTGAGGTCAATTTGCCAAATGACTTGTGGGAGGTATTTTGTCTTGCCAATATATTTGCTAGAAGTAACTTCTTGAAGTAAATACAGTATGGAGTAAACGGTGGGTAGAAGTGCTTCTGTGTAACTGCTTAAAACACGTAGCTGATAACACATAGCTGAGCTTAACAGTTCCATAAAAAATATAAACAAGTCAAAAGAAAGTTTGTTTTATAGAGTATCCCATCTGAGAAGCCTCATCAGCTCAAACTCGTGATTTATGTTCAGATCTGATGCCTCTAAGATGACAGCAACTCCAGCTGTTTCCGATTTAGTTCCACTAGATTTTTCTCTGCTGGAGTAGCTTATTGTGCGTCATTCTCTGCTGCCCGCCTGTCTAACTGAGAACCAAAAAGCTCTACGCTGGCTGCTTTACAGAGGTTGTGCTAATAAATATCTTTGCCCAAAGTTACCTTCAAAGTCAGGTCCTCTAAACTAGGCCAGGCTGTTCAAAACAGGTCAGGACACAGGTGTGTGTGAGTGTGTGTGTGTATGTGTGTTTAAAAGACAGAGACAGAAAGAGAGAGGAGTGTGTGCTCATTGCATCTGTTAAACTCAATTTAAGGTTCAAAAGTGGCCCCTAGTGGTATTTAAGTAGCACTGCTGAACTCCAATGATGTTTTATCTGTTCATTCAATCCATTACATTCCAACTTTATCATCTGATTAGCAGAAATACTGACTAGTTTTCTGTTTCCAATATTACAAATGTATAACATTTTGAAGACCAAGGTAAGACTAAGGCTTTACAGGAAATAGGTTAATAGTGATCTGAGACTCTATTATATTATTGTTTTTTCTCTGAACTCACCTTCATGCTACAGGCCAGCTCCATTAGTTTCTTCGCATTTTCCTCGGAACGATACCTCTTCGGAACCGGGACACGAAAGAATTTGAGTGCACCCTCAAAGTCTGTTTGGATCAGGTCGTCTTTCGATGTCTGAGTGAAAGAAGTATGTGAACAAATCACAAGTAGATCAGGCACACATATTCACTGCTACAGTAGCCTGTTGAGCAGACATTTTTTGCAACATGAAGCAGCATGATCCTCACTGATTGAGGTAATTATCTGAATTGACAGTGACAGGACGTATGGGTTCATTTCCATTTCCACTCAAAGCTGTGATTGTCAGTGTTGTTGTTGTTGTTTGTGTGTGTGTGTGTGTGTGTGTGTGTGTACGTATTTGTGTGGGCTACCTTACCTTCAGAAGTGCCAAGGCTACATTGAAGATCACACTGATGCCCTGAAATTGAAGACACACATTCAGATTCATGGTGTACTGTGGAGTTACTGTAGGAAGAAACTAACATAGAATATGAGTTTTAATGTAAAAACATTTATATTCTAGGACCTACTTTAAACTATTTGTTGCCGTCAATAAACACACAATACTCAATAATAACACATAGTCCAGATTCATTAAAAATAAAAAATATATACAGTAAATAATCAGACCCATTATTTTAGTGCTGCAGTTGCTTCTAATGATATCCCTTTACAAGCTTTGCATATTTGAACTTACACCGTGTCTCCCTTCCTTGCAGATTATGTGTCACACTTTACAGGAAGGAGTTGAAAAACTACAAACTTAGGATTTATCCTCAGAGGTTCAGGATTTACGGGCCCACTTAAAGACATCCAGAGACACTCCGGTTGTCTTAGCTCGGACCACCATGCTGAAAGGTCAATCTTCCCCTTAGTCTGGGGTTGTGTGTGATTTAAACCAGGTCTTCCTTTCATTTATTTATTGTATTTGGGTCTGTCCATCATTTCCTAAATCTTGAACAGTCTCCCAGTTCGTGCTGCTGTGATGCATCATTACGGGTTCATGGTGCCATGCATAACCATAACAATGGTATTACTCAGGTGATGAATGGGACATGGTTTTCACTAGATACAGCAGGCAAATACATTCAGGCCAAAAACCTATTTTTGTCTCATCAAAAATCCTTTCCCCCATGCTCTCTGACTACTTCAAGTGGACACATCTTTTACTGACTTCAGCCTAACAGACAGCTCCCAGAAGAATGTTCATTGTTCCAAACTTACTAAACTTATTTCATACTTCGTGCTTCTCACTTCAAACTTTATTGTTGTTTCAACCGACGGGGGTTTACATTTGCCTCAGTCGACTTCTGCAGACATAACTCAGATGCTAAAAATAAACAGGATGCATGTGAACTCAGTTTGGACTGTCATTACAAAGTGTTCCTTAGAGTACTTCTCTATTTTATTACTTGTTATTGTATACATGTCTAAAATGTGGTTTCTCTAGTTAATATGGGACAGTGTGTGTACATAAATTGTAAAAATAATTGAAAGAAATTGAAAATTAAATATGTATGATTGAATGTGTTAATGGCAGCCAATGAAGCTGCTTTGTGTCTTTTATAACCAACCTCACACAGTAGCAGGTCAATGATATGGAAGACCATGTAAAGAGGGAACTTGGCTGTGAAGAGGGTGAGGAACCACTGAGAGGCGTACATATGAGCCTCCAGACCCACATTCAGGAAATGGTTGTACAGGTCTGGTAAATATTCCTGTTTCAGACAGACAGAAAGCAAATTATGTAGCCAGGTTATAGAGAGAAAAACAAATAGCATTAGTCAGTAAACAGACAAACAACCACTGCTATGGTGTAAATTCAGAAAAAAACACTTCAGATATGAAAATGAAACACACATACCTGCATGAGTCTCTCAAGTTGGAAGAACTTGCAATGCAGATCTTCAAAGTTCTGCTTGAAAAGGTCCCTGAGCCCGTAATCAAACATGATCTTGACCAGCACGCTAAAAGCTTGTTCCTCTGGCATCTGAAGAAGAAACACAAAATATTTAGGAATTAGTACCCTTGTGTGAATTCATATCCTAGGTTATAGATAAGTCTAATAAACAAACACTACTTCACAGCTTTCCCATATAAATATCTGTAGACATACAACTACCTGACCTTTTTAAATAACTCCTTAAAATGTCAAATCCCCTCTAGTCTTCAGCTTCTAAGAAGACATTGACATTATTTGTCCACTAGGTGGCAGTGTTGACATGTCCCTGAACTGCAGGGGTGCTTTAAGGCAAGCCACTCTAGGGTGGCAGAGGAACATGAAAATATTATACATTATTTATAAATATAAAATGTCAGTATCCCACAGATACCACCTTGCATCTGAAATCTTTCTGTTCTAGTGCAGTAACAGTACATCATGCACATCTGATCTTACACTGAATATACTACAGACAAGGCTCCAAGACATAAGCCAGGCCAATCCTCTAGCATTGCAGAATGTCAAAAACATGCAATGTCAAATGAAAACAAAACAGTCCCTCTCAGCTCTTGAAATTGTTTGAAAATCTAGCATTTTGCTGGACCCTGCTGATATGTGATACTCACGTGCAGCAGTAGCACTGCAGCCAAGAAGGATTGTCCCTGGCAGTAACCAATCTCTTCATCATAAACAGAGTAAGCCTGAAGGAGAGGACAAAGGCAAACGGGCACACAGTGAGTAATAAGTTTTACAGGGAATTTTAAATTGTTGCGGGATAATACATTATGATAAAATCATTAATTGTATAATAGATGTTAGTCCAAAAGTTGCTGTCACCTTCCAACTGATTCAGTTGATTCAAACCAAGAAAGCTACATTAAACAGTAGGAATGCACCAATACCAATGCCAGTAATGGGTAGCGGGTCCGATACTGTTCTCATGTACGCGTAATCATAAAACTACTCAGATACCATCACACCCAATACCACCTTATGGCAACATGACGTTAACCTCAAGTTAGTTGAGCCGGTAGGCGGTGGAGAGTCACTGTCAGCAGTTTGGAGATATTTTAAGACAATAAGACATAAGTGAGGAATATCTGATGAAAATAAAACATGTTTTCAAAGTCATAATTAGAACTGTAATTGTTTTCTAAGTACTCATATCGGTACTAAAGTTCTATCTGCGCATCCACATTAAACAGTATTTATGATTTCAACACAGAATCAAATGATGAAACGTAACGTGAAAGAGAGATGAACAGAAGACAGAGACAACATATTTAGGTTGGCAAGCCAGCCCTGGGAAAGTTCAGTATCAGTCAATACTGAACTTGTATTTGTCAGGTAATGAGAAAGACGTCCATATGGCTCAAGATACACTGGAAGCACAATTAAATAGACAAAAATGAAAGAAAAGTTGAGAAATTACAAACACGATAATAAAAATGACCATTGTCTAACCACCACCTATCAGTCAAATACAATTTGTATAAATATTTAGTGCACAGCGGACTTGTTTGGCTATAGAGCACTTGAGTAATGTTGTACAAGCTATTAAGAGTAATATCTAGTCATTTTATTCCCTTTTTAGAAATCTAAAGTTGTTGAAGTTTTTCACTGTGTGCTGTATATCAAACGCACTTGACTGTATTGTGAAGTGCCCTGTTAATGGTATTAGAACAGCTGTAAAGGAAGACACAGATGAGGGAAAGGAGAAAAACAGAAAAGTTACTATAAGTAGAGAGTAACAGACACACAGAAAGGAAAGGACAAAGAGAGGAAAACTAAACAGGTTGGAGAGAGGTGTTGGGAAAGAGGAAATGGAGTAAATATGAGGGGAGGGAGCAAGGGAAAGAGTTTAGAAAGGTGGCCTACTGAGCTACAAACACAAATAATTAGTACAAGTCAAACAGACAAAGTGTGGATCAATCCACACACAGAGGCAAGGGAGGGCCCACTGAATTATTCAACCACACCTAAGGAGGTGCTTGTCTGAGAAGAGATGGATGCCCTCACCTGAGTTATACATAATGAATGAAATGAAAATGAACAAAAAGACCGGACCATTCATGTAGGATTATGGAACCACAGGTAAAACTGTGTGCGTAGCATGTGTGCATGTTCATTCTCAAGAGAGAGAGCGCTGGCACTTGCTGATCAATAAGTATTTTGTGAGAAGTTGCCAGGTTTGCGTATACTGTGTGTGTGTGTATGCTGGTGTGTGAGAGTGAGCTGTGCAGCAGGACTGATTGTAGTAGAGTCTTGTGTGTGTGTTTGTTCGATTAGAAACTTATGTTGCTTTTGTAGACAGGCAGTGAACTCACTGAACCACCCACAAACTGGGTGGCTGCTCAGTTAATTAATGATCACTTCCTTTGAGCTCTGACAACTCTCACTACTGCTCTACAAACTCTGTCATCAGACTTACTGTAAAGCAAGTCATTTACACAGTAACTGCACTTTATCACAGGGAAACGTTCACATGCAGATTGATGTTATTTCCAAATGGTTCTTGCAGTGAGCACCGCCACTACCAAAAAGAGAGTTTGTTTACATCTCACCAGTGTAACTGAAGGAAAATAAATATCTCCAATTACAGTTTGCCAAATACAGAATCATCCTCAGTAATCAGGAGGTTATAAATGTATGTCAGGGCCACAATGTTTATAATAAATCCCCCCAAAGAAACAGGTTGTGTGGTATTAATCAGTTCTTCACTGTGACGAAGGGTTTGTAGATATTCCACCAAATTCTCTTTTTATCTGCCATTTGTTTTCAAGTTTACAAATATTTTACAGATATACTTTGAGGTGTAGTTGTCAAAAACAGATGACACACTGTGACAAGTTTCAGTAGAGAGCATTTTGCATTTAAGTTAAAATTGACGATGCAGAAAGAAGGTCAGAGGAAAGTAATACATGCTGCAGATGTGTTTCCGCAGTTGCTCTGAATACAGTCAGCTGTAACTGATGATGAAGCTTTGTGCACTGCGCTGGTCTGTTTTTTATTTACCGGCTCCATAATTAAAAACGTAATTTAAACATCCTCTGTGTGTGTTTGTGTGTGTGTGTGTGTGTGTGGTGTGTTGTGTGTGTGTGTGTGTGTGTGTCCCACCTTGCAGATCTTGTAGAGGGAGTCTTGTCCGTCTCCTCCAGTGTCTTTGAAGTAGTCATGAGCTGGGAATGTCCTGTTAATGTCCCTGGTGATGGCACTGTCCTGAGGGGACTCCTAGAAATGACACATAAAAGAGTGGGACAGACAACAAGGTCAACGTGGGTGAAAAGAAGTGAAGATGGTGTGTCACAGAGAGGAACATCAGTCACTAAAGTATCCATAAGAAGTTTTATTAGGAAAACTACTGGGGAGAGAAATTCCATAGAGGCCCAGCAGTGGTCAGTGTTCATCAATATGTGGTGGTCCAACCCACTGCCGAGATTTACTGTATGGGGCAGGATGAGTTACTGGTGGCACAGAGTGTTCTCTTCTACAGTACAGACTGTACACATCTCCCTGTTTATGTCCATTTCGGTTATATTTTTAATCACTTCAGAACATTACAAGGAAATCTTATGTTGCCAAAGCTAAGATGAATAACGGTAATAGTTACTAACAATAACTAGGCAGCTCTGATTAAGTGTTGAAAAAAACAAGGAAAACTGACCAAATACACCATGTAACACAGACACAGAGAGAGATACATTGCCCTACTTCAGGGTCATATCAACAAGGAAGTCACATAATAGAAAAATAACCAGAGACTTAACTGTGTAACACCAGGCTGATAAGAGGGTGTTTGGCTTTCATCATCACACCTTCTACCATCACCAATCTGAACTGTACCAGAGTAAATCAACTCTAAGGACATTTTCTCCAGAGAGCAGGACAGATGGATGACAAGGACAGAGAGCAGGAGATGTGTGACGGTGTGAATAAAAATATATACACCAGAAAAAAAAACGTGTTTCGAAACATCAAAAGCGCACCATAACTTAAAGGATCGAGGGTGTTGTCATAGTTTTTCCCCATCAAAACTGGGAAGAATAGTGCCACTGGCACCAGGTTTATAGCTTTGTGAGACTGTACTTAAGCACAGTAACGCTTTAAGCTAAATGCTAACGTCAGCATGCTAACAAGTCGACTGTTGACAAGTATAATGTTTACCATGCCGACTGTCTTAGTTTAGCAATTAGAGCTAAACCAGCGTGTGTGTAGTGCAAATAAAGTAGTCCACCCAGTAGTTGTAGTAGATATTTCAGTGTGGCCCAACGTGGTGGACCAACCCGATGTGACAGCAGGACCGACACTGCTGTCCACAGAGCTAAGCCGCTAGCATGGTGGACACAAGGTCTCTATGAGGGTACAAACGTCAGACGAGATTGTTCAGGGTCAGGATACACTGACACAAGTACAGAGGCGTGAACACAACCCCGACTGCATACAGTACATACACAAGCCCGGGGCAACATACTTCTCAGGGATATCCCTCCGCTTTGATGACAGAGCACAACAGAGTGGAAATACCACACACACACACAGATCAGTAACTACTCCTGAGCAGAGTCTAAACTAGCCAAGATTAATAACCCCTCATTTCATTATTGATGATCTATGTATTTGGAACAAACAGCTTCTAAATAAATAATGTTACTCTAAGACACCCTGGCCATTACATGATAAATCAAATGCACATTAAGGATATCTTCATACAGTATTTGGAGGTGCAGTGGCTCTGAAGTTGGGACAGTATGTTGGGTGATGTAATACACAAAAATAGGGCATTCAGTTCAGTTCTCTTATGGCATTCTTTGCAGCTTGGTGCCAGGACCCTGCTCTCATACGATCAGCGGATAATGAGACAATCAGCAGAAGCATTTCCATTCAGTCAGCACAAGTTACGATAATGTATCACCAAGTTCATGGTGGATGAGCAAATTAACATGATACTTCATTGATCCATGTAGGAAAAATGTTTCCATTACACACTGGGATGTCAGAAAGTGCTCCTCGAGTATTTCAGCATCCGGTGCCTTGCTCAAAGGCACTTTGGCAGGACTAAAGTTTATGATTAATCCCTGCAGGGGCTTAAAATCCCTACTAGCAAAATCATCCTGCACCTACCATGGTCAAAGTAGATGTAAATTAAAGCCATAAACCTCAGAAATCCATTCGTTTTAATCATCAATTCTTTCTTGTTCTCTTTGCAGCTAATTGTACCTTCTAGGTCTCTCTGTTACTGTGCCCATCAAGTCCCTCCCTCTGCTATTTCCAAGGTTTCTGTTCCAACTTCCACAGAGGAAGAGAGGGAAACAAAAATAATGCAAGTATAAGAAGAAATGCAGGAAGAAAGGGATACTAAAACAAAGTGAGCTAATGGGGATCAGAGACCGACAACAGAGGGCTTTTTTTAAAGTCCATTCCACAACATCCACCACACCCTGTAAGTCACAGCTACTGTACGCTGTGTGTGTGTGTGTCTGCATGTAGGCACAGCCAATGTGACTACATGCTTTGGGAAGTTTGAGTAATGTTGATTGTTAAAAGGAATTTTGGTCAGAGTAGGATCTGTTTCCTGGTTGGTGTTTTATATTTACGGTACAATACCATTCAATATAGCATGTAACATGTCCCATCAACTGATCTGAGAGTCCTTATAACACCTGAAATAATTAATTGAGCAACAGAAAAATATTCTGCAACCATCTTGAAAATGAATTTTGTCATTTATCAAGCAAAA